AAGTCCGTGGCTGGCTCATGGTAAAGTGGGTACTGGAGGCTGCATCTTATGATATCCAGTTTGTTGTATACAGATGTGGATTTACTGTAGAAATAATGAAGCTTAATCTTCAGGATACATCCGAACACCTGGGTACACCTAGAAACGTGTTTATGTGGTCATTTTTTTAAGGTTTTAGTGGTGTGTAGTACATGTACAAGACTTTTCTACAAATTGAACATACCTACATAACCAGCATGAGGATCGAGAAGCAGAACATTGCCAAATGTGGTCATGTTTTTGAAGAGTTTGTAAATATAAGTTACCTAGAAACACAGTCAGCTAGAAGTGCTGTCTTTTCACCTAACTTCTGTTTTGCTTTTCTGTTATACTTCTTGAATTGGGTGGGAGTACGGATTTCTAGGATCTAGGTATGGGGAAACTGACTTGGGGAATATATTTAGTTGGGTTTTAGCAAATTATGTTTCTATAGTTCACCGTTTCTTTATGTATACAGTAGTTAAGGTATGATTAGTGATACCATTATAAGGATGGTTTCCAGGAATACTGCCTGTTGTGATAACCACTCTTTTTTTTGTTACGGGTCTCGCTATGCAGCTCTGACTCATAGTGATCCTCCTGTTTCAGTCTCCCCAGTGCTAGCATTACAGGCGTGTGCCACTATGCTTGGTGCACCTGGGGTTCCGGGGCCAGCACAGCATGCGGTGCTGGAGATCAAACCTGGGTCCTCATACTTGCCAGGCAGGCACTTAGACTGCTGAGCTATCCCCCCAGCCCCATGCCACTTGTAATGTGATATAAACCTGGAAAGCTGAGGTGATACAGTGATATTAATATGTCCTATCACATCTGTTGCCTGGAGTTTTTGTTAAGTACAGGAAAAACAATGTGATACCAAAAACCAGTTTGAAGAGAGTTACTTCATCTCTTATAGCTTTACACAAGAGACTTATTAAGAGTTTTCCTAAGATCAGTAAACTAAAATTGAAAGTCCAAAAAGAAACCCATGTATCAATGGTCAGTTGATTTTTTTTTTTTTTTTGGCAAGAGTTCCAAGATTCAGTGGGGGAAAGATAATAGAAAAGTGATGTTAAAATAACTGGATATTGCCATGCAAAAGAAAGAAATCAGATTCCTACCTCATACTATATACAAAATTAACTCAAAGGAGGTAGAAGACCCTGGATAGGCCATGATTTCTAAAATATGGTACCAAAAGCACAAGCAACTAAGGGAAAAGATAAATAATTGAACTTCATTAAAATTAAATTCTTTGGGACCTAGAGGATACCATAAAAAAAGTGAAAAAACTTTACAGAATGGAGGAAAATATTTGCAAGTTATGTATCTGATAAATGTCTAGTATATGGAAGATTATATAAAGCACTCTGATAGGTCAACAATAGAAGGACAAGTTTAATATTAAAATGGGCATAGCTGATTATGGTGCTGAGGCAGGAAGATTTCTGTCAGTTTAGGGCCAGCCTGGGCTGTGTAATGAGTTCAAGGCCAGCCTGAACTACTTAAGCAAGATCTTGTCTCAAAAAGGTGGGGGTGGGGGTGGGGGTTGAATAGCCATATCTTCAAAGATGTCAATGGCCAGGTAACACATAAAAAGTTGCCATGTCCCATCACTCTCTAAGAAAGTGCAAATAAAAATTACAAGATCACTTCACACCCACTAGAAAGTCAATAATAAAAAATGGAGGTGGGTCTGGTGGTGCAGACCTGTATTCCCATAACTCTGGGAGTCCTTGGCCGCTGTTGATTTAGACCCTGTTTTTCAAGGAGGAAAAAAAAAGTGTGTGTGGGGGGGCTGGTGAGATGGCTCAGTGGTCTAAAGCACCTACTTAGAACAAGCTTAGCAAAGCACTTGGACTGCGGTTCAATCCCCCAGCACCACATGCCAGCCAGCCCTGCCCCCAGGCGGGCTGAGCTGGCCACACACACAAAAATAAATAAATAAATAAATAAATAAATAAATAAATAAATAAAATAAATTAAAAAAAAAAGTGTGGGGAAGGCTAGGAATGTTGGTTTAATCTCCAGTACTGGAAAGAGAAAATATGAACATTTTTATGAATGTGAAAAAATGAGAGCCCTCATATGTTGTTGGCGGGAGTGTAAAATGGTTGAATCATGGTAGTAAACAGTTGGGTAGGTCATCAAAAAAGTTAAACATAGAGTTAATTGTATAACTGAGGATTCCATTCCCAGGTATTGAAGATATATTTACACAAAACCTTGTACATAGAAGTTTTATTAACAGCTGAAATAATTGAGTGAAAATAACTCAAATGTACATTAACTGATGAATGGAGAAACAAAAATTGCATCATATCTAAACAAGGGAATATTATTCAGCTATTCAGCTATTCTACATGGTGAGCCTCAGAAATCTTATGCTGACTTAAAGATGCTAGATCCAAAAGACCACATTGTTTAATTTCATTTGGTACATCCAGTGAGACAGAAAGTAGATTTATAGTGACCAGGGGACAGGAGGAGGAAGAGTGATTGTTAACTTGTACTGGGTTTCTTTCTGAGGTGATGGAAATGTTATGGATTTAGATAGTCATGATGGTTTTACAGTATTGTGAATATATTAAAAACCATTGAATTGTACAGTTTCAAATGGTGGAGTTCATGTTATGTACCTTATTTCAGTAACGCGTTTCCCACTTGTAGTGATTCTCCTGTTTTCAGCTTCCCCAATGCTGGGATTACAGGTGTGCACCACCATGCCTGCTCTTGGCAGCCAGCTCAGTATGCCCAGGGTTGGTGTAGCATGTGGTGCTGGGGATCAGACCTAAGCAGGTGCTTAGTCTGCTGAGCTATCTTGCTGGCCCTGTGTTTATATTGAAGTAGATTCCCCTAAAACACTGTAAACTCATCTTTACAAAACCTGAATGTACCCAGGATGTATGTTTGCATCAGATAAAAACCGTTTAAGAACTGTCTTCTGGGCTGGGAAGTTAGCTTTGGTGGTCTGAGTACCTGCCTGGCAAATGCAAGGACCTGAGTTCAATCATTGGTATGCATGTGCTAGCAAGCATCACGCCCCTGGGTCCAATTCCCAAAACAGGGAGAGAACTGTCTTCTATTTAGCATGGGAGATTAAAGAAACATGTTTATTTCTGCTTTTAAAAAAAAAAAAACCATTCAGTCAGATTAAAGGACTAAAATTAGCACAAATTAGAGCAAAGCTAGGTATGGTGGCCCAGCTTGTAGTTCCAACTATTTGGAAGCTTTAGATAGATCACTTCAGTTTGGTGTTTGAGACTAGCAAAACCTCCCCTCCACCCTTGTAAAAAGTTAAAATCTTATGTGGAGAAACTGTCTCCAGATGGGCAGGGATACCTGGAAGTGGAAGAGAAACGTCCTCCTGAAAATGAGAGGACTGGGTACGAGTTAGATGCTTCAACTTCAGCTTCTTGCGCTGCTCAGCTCCAAGAACACTATCAGCCACTTACATCTTTTATTCTGTGTGAAAAAGTCTGTTATACAAAGTGTTGGACAGCTGCAGAGAAGACACTTCTTAATTTTGAAGTCCACCAGTGAAACAGGTTACTTTGCCAGACACACTGTAATGAAGATCATCAGTTGCCATGTGGGAGAGGAAGGGTCTCAACCACTCAGTATCGGACTTTTCACTTCCACATTAAAAAATAGAAATAGCACCAGCTTCTCAGCAGCAGTGCCAAGAATGAGAACATGGTAGAACAGTGCTTCAGAATCGAGGGAAGATGCTGTCTAGCTTAGAATGCAGTCCTGTGCTCAAATACATGTGAAAATAGAGAAAGGCATTTTGGAGTATCCTATATCTCCAAAAATTATTTCTAATCATCTCTTCTTGGGAAGCTGAAGGGATATGCACAGAGAAATGAAGGAGCATATTATGAATGAGGAATACAAGAATGTTTGTATCCATTTCTGTAAAGGGAAAGAAAGGGAAGTCCTGAAATAATAAACCTAGAGAGCAGATTGCTCTAGGTTGGAAGCTATATTTCTATGAAACGTCCTACATATTTCTTTCTTCTGAGAGGGTCTGTATCAGGATTCTTATTTACAAATAACCAAGCCTAAAATGTGAAAATATATTGTTAGTAATAAACATTTTATTTCATTTAATCAGTTTTTTTAGTGTTTAATAGTTTTGCAGGTTAGAGAAAATGGTATTTAAAATTGGATTTGCTTTGTGGTGCTGGGAATTGACTCCTGGGCCTCGTACATGCCAGGTAAACTCTTTTTTTTTTTTTTAAACTTTTTTTTTTTTTGATTATTATTTATTTATTTGTTTTATTTGTGTGTGTGTGTGGCCAGCTCAGCCCACCAGGGGGCGGGGCTGGCTGGGCATGTGGTGCTGAAGGATCGAACCGCGGTCCTTGTGCTTTGCCAAGCTTGTTCCAAGTAGCTGCTTTAGACCACTGAGCCATCTCTCCAGCCCCAGGTAAACTCTTTACCACTGAGGTGCACCCTCATCCCTTTTTATTTGAGAGGAGATCTCAGATTGGCCTTCAACTTGAGATCTTCATGCTTTGGCCTCCCAAGTAGCTGGGATTATAGGTATGGGCAGCTAGCCTTGACTTGCAGCTTGTTCCAGTGATGTGATTGATTTGAAATGACTTAAATGAGTTGTAACCCACTTTTTATGTCATTTGCATATGATTTTTAAAGTTTTGAAAAATGAATAAGGCAAATATATGCAAATGTAGATATTATATGTGCTTATATATGGTTAAGTTAGCTTATACAAAAGACTGCACAGGGGGTTGATCCCCAGCGTGCTGTGCTGCCCTGCCCCGCCCTGCCCCGCCCCGCCCTGGGGCATGCTGAGACTGGGCATTGAGACTGGTTGTGGTGGTGCACACCTGTAATCCCCGCCCTTGGGAGCCTGTAAACAGGAGGATCACTAGAGTCCGATCTGTGTAATGAGATCCTGTAGACCCTGTACTAAATACATTTAAAACCCCCCCAAAACCAAAAGACTTTACTTTTTTAAAAATATGGAATGCTTCCTGAATTTGCCTGTCATCTTTTGTGGGGGCCATGCTGATTTTCTCTGTATTATTCCAATTTTAGTATATGTGCTGCTGAAGTGAGCAGTATTAATAGATATTACATATATTTATCTATGGCTAGTTTATCTTGTATAAAAGACTCTATAGTAAAAAAATTAATTTGTCTGTGTTCTGGATGAGATGAGTTACCACTTTCTTTCCTTACATGGTAAATTGCCAGCTGCTTAAACAGAGGAAAAATAGTCCATAGCAGGGCGAGCAAAAGTCAGCAGAGCTGTGGCCTTTCCTTTTCTGTTCCATCCACTGTAAACCTCTAGGTTGGTGTTGCCCACATCCAGGGCCAGGCTTCCCTCTTAAGCAGTCCCATCATCCACAACTGTACTAAACCAAACAGTGGGCTAATGTGGTCACTGCTTGCCCATGGGCCAGCATCACACACCCATGATTCCATCTTCTCCCAAAAGCTGCACCTGTCAGCTCATGAGGCATGAGAGGGGACATCCAGGTATAAGCCATAGCATGCTGCTTCAATATTCCTATCCTTAGAGTTCAGATTATACCTCCCTTGTGAAGCTCTTTCATATAATTTACAATATAATTTGAGGTTTTCTGAAATCTCAGTAAAGTTACTTGTACTTGTCACATAATGCTGTCTGTTGTGCTTAACTGCCTTTGCTGGACACATGTTATTATATTTAGTTTCCACATGGTGCCTTCATATAATTGTGTGCTTTATAAACATTTGTTCTGTTAAATGAGGTTTCTTCTTTTGCACTATTTTTTGTGATGATGCCAGACATTTTGGTAATTCAATTTAGCACTAATACTTCCTTCTAAGGCAAGCATATAGTTCCAGAACCCCTCTAGAATGTATACATAATATTTTTAGTTTTTAAAAATGGTGCCAATATGCTCCTATTTATTAAATACATGGATTTAGAACTCTTATTATTGTGAAAAAAAATTGAAACCTATTTCTCAATTTGAAACCAACTTTTCATCCTAAAAACATACCCGTTTGTATGAAAAAGACATAAGCACATGTGGAATTTCTAGAGATTTGATTGGGCTGTATTATGAGGAAACAGGTTCAAGTAGGTTGCTACTTTTTTGTACAAATACACAATATGATGTCCTCTTCCTTTATGAGATGGGGTCTAGTTGTATTTCCCAGGCTGTCCCCAAACGCCTGACTTCAAGCAGTCTTCCTGCCTCTTCCTCCCAAGAAGGTGGGATTAGTGATGTGAGCCAGTATTCGGCTTAATATGAGAGGTTTCTATAGTAATAGTAAAATCTTGAAGTCTTTTTTTTTTTTGGCTAATTACCGATATTCTTAAGTTAATGCTAAGTAAAATTTAGTATTGAGAGTTGTTTGGTGCTTTAAGAATATAATTGAAGCCTCAGAATTATAGGGATAAGAATTTAACTTATATTCATAAAACTTCTAATAGAAGGCATGAGATCGTTCACGTTATATGCATGAACCAGTGGAAGTAGTGGAGTTCTGGAATTTAAACTTGGAACAAAGGGAATGTGATAAATTTTATTCTTGTGATGTGTGATAAATATATGCTAAAGGATTTAGGTAAATTGCCATATTTTTTCCCACCTAATAGAAAACTTTTTACCTGGGATAGAATGGTACTGGAGTAGGTACAGTAGTGAAGAGAGAGCTTGTCTTATTTTACCTTTTCTTTGAAGTTGTTTTTAAGAGACCTAAACCAACTCTTAAATGCCTGGAAATAGAGGAATCAGTCACTAGAGGTTCTTTTTTCTAATATTAAATACTTCTGTGTATTATTATATATGCACTACATATTATGTGTCTTTTTTTTTCTTTTCTTTCCCCTTTTGGTAGTGCTGGGGATTGATCCCAGGGCCTCTTGAGTGCTAAGCAAATGCACTACTACTCACACCTGTAGTCCTGTGTGTCTTGTTATATTTTAAGAAATTCTTTACTTAGCTTCAGCTTTACTTTAGCTTAATCTGAAAAGCAGTACAGTGAAATATGTGAGTACAGATATCATCATTGGAAAACACTGATTTTAGAGAAGTTGAATAATTGTCCAAGGGCTCATAGCTAGATAAGTGTTGGGAGAACTGGAATTTGAGCCTAGACATGTTTTACTCCCATCTCTAGTCTATTACTGTGTCTTCCTAAATAGTTTAGGTCTCTTGACAGAGAGGTCTTTGAAGCCTTTGAACATTTGTTTTGTTTTTTCTCCTAAGCAATTACTTTCGGTCTTGTTTTCCCCTTCAGTTAAAACAGTACTGGTTAGAGAGTTGTTTATAATTTCCTTTAGACTCAGGTGTTAGGGTATATGTTTTGAATTAAAAGAATCCCCCACTCCCAGATCTCTTTCTCAGCTTCATGTAAGACAATTGGAAAGTGATTTGATTTAATCAGCACATTCTCTAGGAGAGCTGAAGTCAGTAGTATATTGTTTTTGGCAAAGTTTTGTTTTTGTGTTTTTGAGATAGGGTCTCACTTGTAATAGTTCAGGTTGGCCTGGACTCACTATGTAGCCCAGACAGGCCTCAAACTCGAGGTTATCCTCCTGGATCTGCCTCTCGTGCCCTGGGATTATAGGTGTTCGCCACCACATGCAGCAATAGTTCATAACCACATGGTGTGAATTACACAGGACACTTCAGCAAGTCTAGACATCAGAGCTAATGGAGAATTTGTAATTAAATGTGCGAAGTTGAATCAAAGATGAAAAACTTTGCCTTTTTCCCTTCATGTTTTAGGGTGGCTTCGAATAACTTTTGTTAATAGATGATAAACAGTAAAGTGCTGATCTTCTCTACTCTTTAATGCCCTTTTATAAGTGAGAATCTTAATTTAGGGAATTTAATGAGCTAATCTATATAAAGCGCTTAGCACAGTACCTGAAAAATAGTAAAAATGGTAACAATAAAAGTTATTATGTAGGGGCTGGAGAGATGGCTCAGTGGTCTAAAGCACCTACTTGAAACAAGCTTGGCAAAGCACAGGGACCGCGGTTCGATCCCCAGCACCACATGCCAGCCAGACCCGCCCCCTGGTGGGCTGAGCTGGCCACACACACACACAATAAATAAATGTAATAAATAAAAATAAATAAATATTTAAAAAAAAGTTATTATGTAGATAGTTCTTATACAATAAAATGTGAATTTTTTTCTTTCTTTCTTTTTTTTTTTTTTTTTTTGGCGGAACTGGAGATTGAACTCAGACCCTTGCGCTTGCCAGGGAAACGCTTATTCTACTGAGCCATTTCCTGGCCCCTAAAGTGTGAGTGTAAAGGGCAAAGGTAAAATTTAGGATGTTGTCAAGTTTCTTATTTCATGATTTTTATTTTTTCCCATAATTTTATTGAGAAACAAATAGCAATGAGATGATTTTTATTTACTTATTTATTTTTTTGGAGGAAGGTGGTTAGATGCATTTTATGATTTTAAAGAGAAGATCAGGGCCGGTGAGGTAGCTCAGAGGACTAAGCCCCTGCTTAGGCAAGTGCAGGAACCGGGTTTATTGTTTATGTATTTATTTAGTATTTTAGGACAGGATCTACAGGGTCTAACAGGGTCTCACTGCATAGATCTGACTCCATAGTGATCCTCCTGTTTACAGCCTCCCAAGCACTGAGATTTACAGGTGTGTGCTGCCACGCCCAGTCTGTCACTGGCTCAGTGCGCCCTAGGGGTGGGGCCATGAGGCAGGCCCAAGGATTGAACTCCCAGCTCCTGGGTCATCACCTAAGCAGGTGCTTTAATCCACTGAGCTATTTGGCTGGCTCTAGGGGCCGGGTTTTGATCCCCAGTATCACATAACCCCTGCTGGCCCCCTCCTCAAGTGCTCTGACAGGAGACTTAGTCTGGGCGTGGTGGTGCTTACCTGTGATCCCAGCAAAGGGGAAGCTGAGATAGCAGGATTACTATGAGTCCGAGTTGCTTAGTGAGACCCTGTAACAAATACATAAAAAATTAAATTAAAAAGTTAAAACAGGAGCTATGCCTGTTTTCAAAGGTCAGTGAAAATGTGTTCCCCATCTGCCAAAGTTACTTAGGTCCATATATGGACTCTGGAAATTTGTCCTATCAAGTACAGTTTTTCTCCTTTTTCAGAAATTAAAGAGCCAGCGAAATAGTTCAGTGGATTAAGCGCCTGTTTAGGCAAGTGCAGGAACTGGGGTTTGATCTCCACACCACATGCTGTACCAACCCTGCCCCTGTGCACACTGAGCCAGCCACTGAGACCAGATGTGGTGGTACATGTTTGTGATCTCAGCTCTGGGGAGGCTGAAAACAGGAGGATCACTGCAAGTCCAAGCTGCGCAGTGAGACCCTGTACCAGATACATTAAAAAGAAAAAAGGAAGAAAAATTAAATATTCACATGTGTCTTTCATCTTAAAGAATCCTATGTTAGCCCGTTTCCTTTAATTGCTGCATTTCTTTTTTCAATTCAGACTTTTTAGAAGAGAGTAGTGTACTCTCACTTCTTTTTTGTGCCGGGAATCAAATTCAGGATCTTGAGTTTGCCCGTTAGGTGTTTATGCTGCTGAGTTTCTCCCCAGCCCTCTACTCTCATTTCTGTGTTTTCACCTTTCATTGTGTACTAATTCAGGCTTTGCCAGTACTCCCATGAAACTGCTCTTGTGAAGATGTGGGTGCAGTGAGTGGTACAATTAGCAAGAGACTTGCCTGGCTTGCCTATCTTTGTATCACTGTTTCATTTGACTTCTAGTTACTTTTTAGGGTTACCTGTGAACTGATTACGTGTTTGTAAAAACAGGATCCCTGGGTGTTTGTTGTCCTCTCCAGTCACGCAGAAGAAAGCCTTTAGCAAGGTCCTTGAAGGAGTCTGTTCTTATCATCAGTTCAGCTAATGAGACAAACTGGGTAATTGTTAGAATTTTATGGAACATTTAAAAAACCTGTCTGCTAATTTTCAGGAATTGTGGGTGTCTCATCATTTGTGTTCTCTCTTACCACAACCATAGGTGTCCAAGAGCTTTCAAACACACATTGTTAGGTTTGACAATATTCACAGAGAATTCTCTTTCTCTTACCTCACTGCTGACACCTGTGCACCAGTTTG